TAATCTTCATTTTTGGAATAAACATATATCATAAGTTGGGTAGTAAGATTTAAGAATATATTTTTTCTGTGTACTTCATATAATGTCTTTAAAAATTCTATTTCTTAAAATCTAGCCCAGAACTTTGAAACCTGCAAATATTGTAGGAAACCCTCAGAAGCAGGATTTATCTTTATTAAATTTAGGGTTTTTTTTTTTTTTTGGCTACCATGGATAGCATTCAGGACCTTGCCTTGCCAGTCAGGCGATTATGCCACTGAGGTATATCATCAACCCAATTAGGTTTTTTTTTTTTTTAGCTTTCTTGTCATTAAATGTCCTAAGACATGTAGAGTTTTAATTTGACTAATTTTTATATAGACCATAAATGAATATTTTATTTTCTGGCTATTTAATCATTCTGATCAGTCTTTGACACCAGTGTCACTTATCTTAGTAAACATTGGGTGTGTAATCCAGAGAAAAAGGGACAGCAATCACTCATTGTTGACAGGAGAAAGAAATGAAATCTTTTTTTTTTCCTCTTTTCAAAGTTTTATTGATAAACATATAGCAATGAGACAGTTTCAAATCAAATCGAAAGTACAGTTTCAACAAATAATACACTACATATATTCTTCTTAGTGGTTAATTGATGTACAAGATGCAGACTTGTGATCCTACTTACAAACACCATTAGAAAAAATTATTCTATTCATTAAGAGAATGCAACTATATATCTATCCCAACCACTTTGAATACACAGATACAAAATGGACATTCATAGTTATACCCCAATTTTTTTAAGTTCCGTTGTTGAATATTATAGGTGTGTAAACTCAGCAAAATATTCTAAAAGAGTCCAGTAGCCCATAATAGCATTGGGTCTTCTGTTTAACTGGCAATGTCAGAAATTATTGACCTGAGTCCCCCACAGCTCAACGTAACAACATGGCTTTACTTCCTATATTTCATCTTCATACTTTACTACTGGGTGGTTAAGACCAAGATAAAGCAGGACCTGTGCAACAAGAGTTGTAGCTTTTTGGTCTGAGAAGGTCAGTGAAATGCCCTCAGGATTTATCCTGAGATCCTGTACCTCAGATTGTAGAACCTTTGTCAGCAGCAGCCATGTGGATGAGTCACGGCCATTGCTTGGCCAATGTGCTCTCTGTGAAAGCCTGAGAGAGTGTCTTCTCTCCATGTGACTCTCCTTAGGCACACTCTACATCATCCATCACTTTCCTCTTTGGCCCCATAATCTTGATCAGAAAATTTGGGACACTACCGAGGTACATGACGTTACAGTACAAGTTCTCATATGTCCTGAGTCTTAATTGACCTTAGAAGGCTAGGGCCAAAATGTTGGCTTTCCTTGTAGCCCTCCTTTTTCTCTAATTTTGGTCTGCAAACTTAGGTTGTTAACCATTCAGAAGACAAGCTTATTGTTATTATCAAACGATTTAGGCTATCAAGCTTAACCTCACTATCTCACTGCATAACTCTACTTTTTTTTTTTTTCGGAACCGGGGATTGAACACAGGTCTGTATGCTTGCCAGGGAAGCACTTATTCCATTGAGCCATCTCCCCGGCCCAGAAATGAAATCTTTAAAAAGGATCAGATGAGGTAGGCCAGCGTGCGTCCACAAATACCCTGTGATGCATATGCATTCACCAGGACCTCAGAGCGGAAATTCTTTGTCCTTACATGGAACCAGACCTGCAGCCTCTCAAATCTGTGCCTTTCCTGGAGTCCTTCTCCAAAGCCAAGGGAGCATGGATTGAGTGGGTCCCTCATGGAGGGCAGATCAGATCTCCTAGGCTCAGAACAAAGATGTCTGGGCCTTGCAGCTGGTCTGACAGAGGATGGGTAGGAGGAGCAACCTCACAATGGAATAAGAGGGAACAGTGTCCACACGATGAATAGGAGGGACAGAGAACATACCCACAGGGTTTGCTTCAGGGACACGTATTTTTCATGAACCCTTGAACATGAGAGGCCTGTAACATGGGTGCTGACAGCCTCTGATCCACACACCTGTTATGAGGAGAGAGTTACAAGTGCTCACACTGTGGACCCAGAGAAAATTTGCCTCAGAAACCCAGGCATTACTTCATTGGCTCTTTATTAACTCAGAAACTCTTTGTCTCAGAATGGCCAACTGCTTCTTGTTTATTCATTCACTGGTGTTCTAACACAGGGATAAAATGTTTTCTCTCTAGACCAAGATGGCTTTCTTTTTCAGCTGTATATCTGAGACCAGTAGGACTTACCTTGGGGTCTACAGAAAACTAAACGTTAGTCAGATTTGTGGTATAAGAAGTCCATGCTTATTTTATTAATCATGAACTGAAATTTAGCATTTATCTTTTTCCATTTTGAATGTAGTAGCAAAGCAGTAGCTACAAATAGAAGTCAAGATTATTTTTTATATTATGCTATAGCTTTTGCTGATCTCTTTAAATGACATCAGCAATTACTTTATTATGGCAGTTATGTGACCATCTGTCTCAGTTACTCTCCTCTAGTTGCTGGGACAATTACCTGACATTCAAAATGAAGGAAGGAAAGGTTTATTTAGCTCACAGTTACTGGAGGTTTCAGTCCATATTCAGCTGGCTCCAAAGCAGAGCAGCACAGCAGAAAGCAACTTTCCAAGGTGGTGGCAAAAGTAAGAGCAAGGGGAGGGGTAGCAGCAGCTCAAGCAGCTAACTGCTTTTCCCTTCTTACATTGAAATGCAAATTACCTGCCCCAGACAGCAGCATCCATACCCACAATAATCCATCACAAACTCCAGAAGCTGCCCCATGACTGCATGAGGCTTTGAGGGGACACCTGAACACAAACCATGACACCATCACAAGACCTAATGCATTCATAATAAACCACACATGACACTATACCAAAAAATGAATGTTATGGTATTTGATAACTATATTGCAAAAGAAGTGGCCTTTTGTCAATCCTATGTATAGTATTCTGTACATTGATAAATACAGTTTTCAATAGTCATTGCCCTGTCAAATTAGTCTGTTATAAAAATAAATAGATAAATAGAATTATACCTCCTTGATTGTGTCTGTGCTGTCCACTGGCTAAGAACTTACACTTAGAAATGTATTATTGGTTAAAAGCTAAAAGAAAGTGGGGTAAGGGAGTACCAACTTAGAAAAAGTCATTAAATCAGATATAAACTCCTTGAATCATAAGTGAAATGTCAGGAGGGGGCCGGGGAGACAGCTTAGTAGAATAAGTGCTTCCCTGGCAAGCTTAAGGGCCTTGAGTTCAATCCCCAATTCCACAAAAAAAAAAAAAAAAAAAGTCAAAATGTCAGGGAAATATTTTCATGCATTGAAAGTGTTTGTGTCACATGTTAAAAAGTTATCATAAGTACCAAGGCATACTTATAAAGAAAACTAAGCTTAAAATATGGAGACATGAGAAACTTTTCCATGTTATGAATTGAAAAAGAGCCAGCAGGACCTAGAGCATCAGAATACAATGACAACAACAAAATAAAGAATAAGTCACAATAAAAATAAAAACAAAAAACAAAACATTATAGCAAAAGAAACTTTCATACCTGGCAGGGGCAAAGGTAATAAAAGAAGGATGAAGAGATAGAAATAATAGATGGAGAACTAGAAGGAAATAGAACCTGGGAAGGGACGGTTAGGTCATGGTGACACAGCGACTCTTAGCAAAGCTTCAACTTGTGTCACTCTGCATCCCTTAATCCTTAGTACTCAACTCATCTTGATAGAGAATAACTTCTGTGAGCTTTGCTGCTTCATTTTAAACAACTCAGATAATAGTAATTATATTACAAGGTATAAAGTGAAATAACATAGAAAACATTCTTCCTGTATATAGATGCGACTGAATGCGTAGAAACATAGACCTCCCATTTCAGCGCCAATACCTAAAAGCTAGAAAGTCACAACTTGTCCATAAAACAAAGACACTAGAATTTGCATCTCTTGCACATAGGACTATAACAAATTCTAAAAATACTCCAACTTCTAGCAGGAATAACATATCAATTAACTAGTTCTTCATTTTGATCACGAATCTTGTTGTAGAATAATCTCAGCTTCTTCAGCTGTCTCATTGTGACGAGTATGGAGAAGACAGAAAAGCAGAAAGGCAGCTCACAGCAGTACCCTGTAAGTAACCAACTTCTTCTCTCATTACCAAATAATAATAATAATAAAAAAACCCCAGGATTCTCTGAAAGCACAGGGCATGGTGTTGTTTTGTGTCCCTTTTCTAATAATCATTTTCTGGTAGTCTACCTTGGAATTGAGGCCTTAATACCACAGCAAATCACTTAGTATTGCCCTCTGTTTCTAGAAATAGTTGTGTGCTATTCTTGTTTTACTTAGAAAAGATATGGAGGTTTATGTTATCATCCAGCCTTCCAGATTGTGAGAATCTGAAGAGGTTCTGTGTTGAGAGCATTGAGTTTTTTGTTTCTTGATGTTGTCTTTTTTATTATTGTTACCTTCCTGAGTTCACATGTTAAAGTTGTTTGGATTGGAGCTATTTTTCTGTCTTGAAAGTAGCTCCCCTCTACTTGGAAAAGGGTTGGGTTAGATGACATTAATCATGCCAGCAGATTTCATGAGGACAGAAGAGAGTGAAAGGGAAGCTTGACTAAAGAATTGTGTTATGGTTAGAGGAGGAGCCAAAGGTAGGAATGGCTCAGAGTCCAGCCACATCATTGTAAGCCCAGGGCGCATTCTTTGCTGCTGACCCTCCTCTGACCTGGCCACACCCATGACGGACACAGCTCAGCTTGACCAATGGTTTCAAAGTACTGGGGAAAGGAGGGGGCCAGAACTTCACTAGAAAAGAATAAAAGGCGACAGCTTCCAGCAGCAGCAGCAGCAGCAGCAGCAGCAGCAGCAGCAGCAGCAGCAGCAGCAGCAGTAGCAGCAGCAGCAGCAGCAGCAGCAGCAGCAGCAGCAGCACATTCTGCTCCTGACACTTCTGTGGTCCCTGCCAAGCTCCCGACTGACATCATGGTGCATTTTACTTCTGAGGAAAAGAGTATCATCAGTGCCCTGTGGGGCAAGGTGAACGTGGAAGAGACGGGAGGCGAAACCTTGGGCAGGTAAGTACAAGTTCTCCATGCGTAAAACTGACCCTGGAAATTGTCTATGAATCTCCTCCAGATTTTTGAATGTCTCTGATTTTCTGCGTTATTATCCTCTCTCGTAGGCTCCTTACTGTCTACCCCTGGACTCAGAGATTCTTCGACAGCTTTGGCAACATGTCCTCCCCCTCTGCCATCATGGGCAACCCCAAGGTCAAGGCCCATGGCAAGAAGGTGCTGACCTCTTTTGGAGAAGCCATTAAGAACCTGGACAACCTCAAGGGCACCTTCGCTAAACTGAGTGAGCTGCACTGCGACAAGCTGCATGTGGACCCCGAGAACTTCAGGGTGAGTTCACGTGTTTTACTCAGGAAGAATACTTAGGAGCAATAATGGAAGATGACACTATGATGGGAAATGTCAACAAAGATCTCAGAAATCATGATCTACTTTGATACAAGAAAGACAGATGCCCTGTGGGTGTAACTAAAACCAACTTGATTAATGAAGGTGATGGTTTGGATATAAGAAACCTTGAATTTGCTTATAGCTGTTCATAAAGCTTTGTCAGAACTGGATATGCTTTATGCTTATCCTGGAGAATAATATTACAGCACAGAAAATTTGTCAAGGAGAGCTAGAATTTGGTTTTTGGTAGATACATGCTTATCTTAAGGAAGGAGAAATACTTGATTGAATGTGTGTCCTAATTATAGAAGTTTAGATATAGATTTTAAGAAAAAAATGTTTTTAAAGATTTTGTCAACATAGAAAAATTCTCTAAAATCTCTTAAATTCTATTTGAGTATTATGACCAAAGAAAGGCTTGTTTCATATTTGGCCAGAGACTTAAAACTGCCATCAAGAACCAGTTTAGCACAGAAATCATGTTTAAAGAAATTAAACAATTGTTGAATATGGAGAAAAGGAAGCAAAGCAAATAAAAAATGGTGAAATGAGAAGAGGGTAAAGAGATAGGAGGGAGAATGTTAAATAGGCACTCAGAAACATGAAACTGAACCTAAGTCCTTCAGAGAAGCCTGGAGAGGTGGTTTGGAGTCATAGAGAGTTGTAGTTGTGAAGCCATTTCTTTCCCTGCAAGCTCTTGTTCAGAGGCTGGTACTCAACAGGCCTTTGTGTTGCTCTGCTTCATCTATAGCTCCTGGGTAACGTGCTCGTGATTGTTCTGGCTACTCACTTCGGCAAGGAATTCACCCCTGAGGTTCAGGCTGCCTGGCAGAAGCTGGTGTCTGGTGTTGCTATTGCTCTGGCCCACAAGTACCACTGAGCCTGCTTTCCAAGCCACCGGTGTTGCTGTGTGCTCCAATACCCTCCTTCTGCACATGGTGGTTGGGCCTTAACATTACAACTTCCTTTCAATAAAAGTCATTCTCTTCAGTAATCAAAAATTGATGTTTTGTCTTCTCCATCTTTTACTCTTGCACTAAAGAGAAAGTCTTCACAGGCTGAAGGGTGGGTTGTAATGTGGGAAGAAATGAAAGCTTCTTTGAGAAGCATATAGGGACTCATCAAAAATATTTGTCAGTGAAAGATCAAGGAGACCAAGTTGGAGAGGAAGTTCTATCAAGAGCAAGAATTAGGGACCTATGGGGCAGGGTCCCATTGTGCAATGCGGCAAAAAGGAAAAAGAGGAAAAAGGAGGTAGAAAGTGATAATTGAAAAAACAAAGCTGAAATCCACACCCATTTGTATATGTTTTTATTTTTTATTTTTTTTGCAGTACCAGGGATTGAACTTAGGACCCTGCGCTTGCCAGGCAAGAGCTTATTCTACTGAGCTATTTCCCTGGCTTCATGCCCATTTTTTTTTATTAAAAGCAAAATGAAAAGTCTTTGCATGGATCCAAAGTCAAATGAAGATTACTAACTTAATTTATTTTAGTCTATATTTGGAAGAAGCTAGACTGTCATGCTTTTTGAGATTGATGTGGAGCTGGGAGATGAGTTACAGGATAGCTAGGAGTTTTCCAGAAAAAGTTCACATGATGCAACAACAGCTTAATTTTTCCCAAAGGATCTTTTTGTCTTAATGGGTAGCCCAGAATAAGACCCATGGGTTCATTGTGCATTACCTTCTGAGAGAATGTAGTATGCACCAAAATAAAGTTAGAGTTAGGATACAAGCACTAACTTTTTTGGATGGGGTGATAAAAAGTTGATGTAGGAGAGCAAAATCTATATGAATAGTAACAAAGCTTGTAGTTTAAAATCAATGATCATGGGCCTGGCAACCTCTGTGCAACTCTGTCCCTGGAGGAAGAGAGAGTAAACTCAGGTGCAGTATTAGTAAAGACCAAATAGTGAAGGATTCGGCCATAAAAATGAAAGCCAGTATTACACTATCAGAATAAAAAGCAATATTCTTCAGTTGTTAAGTGATTCAAGAAATACAATGTTTTTTTTGGGGGGAAAGCAATGTACTTATTCATGCAGAATGCATGTAAGTACAGTTACAAGAACTCTTTGCAAAGAAGCTTGAGAACTGAAATGAACAAAAGCTTCCCAATGAGGTGGAGAGTTGTGTTCAGAAGAAGAAGCATTCTAGAATGCAAGTAATTTATTTTAAATTCATAGAGACTAGATTTGGGTGGTGATATAATAAAGAAAGTAATGTTTATGACCCAAGAGGAGTGGTGAAGTCTGTAAAAAGGGAAGGAAGAGCAAATGGCAAATGTAAAGTGAGAAAGCCAGGGTATCTGGGTGGGCAGAGTAGATGGTGTGAGGGGAGAAGAAGTAGATGAGTGACAGCACCCAGTCTGAGCGGATAGCTTGGGATGCGGCTGGGTGCTGGTCTGGAGACCCCCACACGGTGTTACCTGAAGACCCCAGGAGAGTGCCAGCTGGTTGCTCAGAGTCTTCATCTAAGCCCTGAATCAGGCTCTCCTACCAAGGACTGAGACCTGTACGCTAAATGTTAGTATGGTCAACCTTGGCAAGTACAACTATGGGAGACATTTCATTTGCTCGATACAGTGATCAGAATTTTGCTGTGAATTACTTTATAATTTGGCTTCATGTTTCCTTTCATAGGAATGGGAGGCCAATAATCATTGCAGTTTCTAGAAATAAATAGCTCTGGTCCCTCTGAT